AATTTGGTCTGGGCCCGAGGTGGGCTTAATAACCGGCGACTACTGTATTACATGACACGTAAAGTTTGCGCACCTTCGAGTGAGGACCCATAAGATAGGATAAAGGGGAAAAGTGTCCGTCTAACGTCAGAAGGGTAACAAAACTCTTGCAGGAAGGATCACTTACCTGATCAACGAGCAGACTGGTGAGTTTGAGCGACTTGTCCATGCTCGCGGAGGCGACTATGCCATCCTCTAATTCGGGATGCAGGGCGAGATCCCGAATGGGCTGTGAGTGCAAGTGGATATACTTGAGTGGACGCAGTTCACCGGTGTGTACCTAAATCAGATGGTGGTTAAAAAAGACAATCACATCACAGATAACAGTGGAAAAAAGGAGGGCATGCCGTTCCATGCAAATAGATGGGTGGCAAAGTGGAAATAAAAAGAATATTATAATGAAAATGACTAACAACTGACCTTCCGAAAACCAAAACCCTTGAAAAGAGGATTACTGGAAGGCTGGGAGACGCAAAGGAGGTTTATGTAATCACAAGCTGCGACGACACGACAGCGTCCCGTCTGAAGTGGAAACAGATAACGTCTGCAAATGCGCATATGTGGTGAAGAGTGCGAAGGACAAAAGGCTTAGGGAACTGACTCCAGCTGAATAAATATGTATGAATAGAATGGCACGATCCTTAGAAGTTAGTCATAAAATTACATAATTGCCCAATGGCAAATCATACAGAAAAATGAGACAAAAAGCGGAAGATCAGGCAAGAAACTAGGTTCTGACATACCGGCGAGAGAAGCATCGATTTGATGAGTTCATAGCTCCCAGACAGAATTTTTGGACGTTTGGGACTAAAAATGTGAAGAAAGATAGTAATATACATTCCACATATACAGATAAAAATAATCTGTATTTTTGAGTAACAGTGAAATAAAAGTAAGTTGTTCTATCAGCACAAGAACACTTGGATGGCACATATACGAGTAGAAAAGCTCTTTCACACACTGCTTGTCGATGTAATTTACTAACTATAATTTTTAAGCATATGCAGCGGAGAGAGCGGGCATATAAATGTTACGGTGTACTTACTTCTGGTCAAATGAATGCTGGGTTGTGAATTAAACGGAGCATAACATAAATTCACAATATGAAGCTGCAGCGAGAATTCGGGCAAAGTAATTGCTTTACGAAAGACAATAAACGTAGACAAAATAGGCGCTGGCGGCGATTGAAATGTGCCTGCAGAGATGCCAAACTGAGCAGGAATATGTTGTCATAACAACTATATTCTATGAACATTTCATCTTCTAAGAGCCCATAACCTCTACCTATGTTTGTCTTTGATGGTAAGTTCGAGCATGAAGTTTAAGGGTAAGACAAATATATTCATCGCTTTGGATATCAAACCTCTCTGTTCTATGGGAAAAGCCTATGCAAAACCGTAGAAGTTCGAATAAACTCAGTTTTAAATTGATGTTCACCGAGGTTTCGTGCGTTCTCACGCAACACTAATTCTTACAAACTCAAATTAAGTATGTTATATAGGAGATAGGTGTGCAAGACTCCTTCACTAGGTCATATGGGAGAGCACAAAACCAGGAAGCAAATTTAGTAAAGCAATTCAATTAATCTAACGCTAAAGCAGTAAGAAGTTGTAACACAATAAAAGTTCTAACAGAAAAGCTTCCGTAAGTTGTGAAGTTCCTGTCTAGTGTCATTCAGATATGCTTTCCAAACAAAAGCCAAGGGAGTGGAACCTCATAAAAACGAAGACCGAACGGACTGAGACATGCAAATTTGCGGGGAATGAAATGCAACTGTGTTAATTCTCAATCCAAACGAACAGTAAAGAGAACTATGCACAACTAAAATCACTGGTCTGCCGGCGGAAGACAGTATAGAGAGTCGGCTTAAAGAAGATACTCGATTTGCTCAAACACTGTTCATTTCATGCATGAGAAGGTAGGTCACAATAAAAAGGACGCTAAACGCACTCGGGGAGTCCTTCAAGATCCGACGTGGATCCAGAAGCGAATTTATCCGAGTGGTCCCTGGAAGTTTGGAGTGCGAACATCACGGCGCGCACGCTGGCTAATTCTTCGCGCAGCCGAACAGCATCATCGCTTGCTACTTGGTATTTAAACTTAAACTCTGACAGTTCAAGCTCAAGTTTGCGACGAAGCTTCCGTTCAGAGTCCAGGTCAGCCAGGGCCCGATCGCGGTCTGTAGTGTCCACAGCCTGAATGGATTGAGACGAAGGTACGATTGGAAGGTCAAGAAGATTGGGGCAGAGACATCAGGAGTTGAATTGCGTCAAAGGCGACCAACAACAAATAGTTCAATAGTAGAACTCACCCTAATTTTTTTGCAGAATAAAACGCGCACATCTTTGGAGTGCGCTCTTGCGTTGCACTGTGGACACTTGCCTACACGACCCTGAGTGGCAAGCCATTTTAATATACAACTGAAAAAATAAAAGTTTCTGTGCGAGGGAACCAGATCCTACCTTTTTCCAAACAAGTGTCCACAACGTAGACAGCAAATTCGATGCGCTCCTGAAGTCGTCCAGGCTTCAAAGCATATTGAGCACATCTGTATCAAAACAGGTAAGGGATTAAAAGTAGGTATACTTACTTCGGACTCGTCAACTAGACTTGCATCCAAATGTACCATCGGAGGGAGTTTAATGTCAAAGCCCCCTTCGTATTTATCCTCTGCCTCTTCTTCGTCAAGCGGGATGACTAGACGGTGTTCGGCCACAAATTCTGGCTCATCATCAGGATCAGAGACTGACGACAACGACAACTGAAGAAGCAAAATCAGAAGTTTTATTGCTTACAGTTTCGATAAATTCATCGGCCATTAGTGTACAGTATTTGGTCTGCGAACGGGGAGCAAGGCTGCTGAAGTAAGGAGAAAAAAAACGTGCGTTTTGTATGCGAGAAAAGACGAAGGCTAAAATCATTCGAAGAAAAGCAAACAGTGCGACAAGGCTACAACATATCCGTAGAAATATATCATGCTAAAGGAATTATCGCTGAGCAGATTAGGCCCAGAGTTCTCCAAAAAGTATGAAAAGAGCAGTGGAATGTGTCCTATCGCCAGAATAACCCATGCTTAGTGTTGCATTATATAAGAGTGAATACTAATAAAAAAAATTTTTAAATAAAATTCTCCAAGGGGATGAATAGATAAAAATTAATTATGGGTGTTAACTTTTAGGCATTAGAGCAAGAAAAATGACATATTCAAGTGGCATCTACGTTCATCGGGGCGCGTAGTGTTGATTGGTTAGTAGCCCTTGTTGGATTAAGAGTCCCCTCCGGAGTCCAAACTGGGTGCAGTTGGGAGACGGCGAAAAGCCGCAACCTCAGCCGGCTTGAGCCAAAGGTCCACGGGGGTGAGTTG